TTAACTGTATCATCCAATTGATTACATGATTTTCATTGGATCTTTGCAAGCTTTTCTTTTAGATAAAGTGTTCTAAGTTCAATTTCTTTAGTCCTCAAACTTTGCACAGATGACCATTGTGCCATTCAGGCCTCGAGTTTATCACTTTTACCGATCTTAGGTTCCTTACGTCGGCGTTCACCCGATGTACCAACTCCGTCACGTCGACAAGAAAAGGAAACCTCATCAACTTCATCATTATTTTTCGCACGTACATGCACTCCCTTGTTCAAGAAATCATCTTCTAGTTGTCTTTCTTCTTCTGATGATTTGGAAGCTGAGTGGAGGCATTGCCTAATCCTCCAATAGCTGTAGTCCTGTTAAATATCTCCCCAGAGTATTGTAGTGCTTACATCCTTCTTTCCTGAATATCTTGTAGTCCGACTTGTTAATCTACCATTGGAAAAAGAAGTCACATTATTGTAGTGTTCAACAAGAAAATGTATAGTTTATAAGATAATAAACTAATGACGAATATATTCTTTAATAAATATATGTACCGTATAAAAGTATTGCCAAACTTCTTCTGCCGCATTAACTTTGTTGGTATTTGGATCCCATGTAATACCTGTATGTCCTAATAGTTCAGAGAACATGCGATGAATTTTACGTAAGCGGTTCCACTTTCCCTTTAATCTATCTATGCCGTAATCCATTTCCGTTGAAGCTATCACGGTCTCATTGATCCTGCCCCATTCGTCTTTCGTGAATGTAAAACATTGCAATGCGTTTGATTTGACTTTCTCATAAAGAATTTCAATAAAAGCGTGTTCATTCTAGTCCGACCATGACATTGGTTTCTTATTCCTAACTCCGTGACCACCCATGTTGAAGCTATATTGAATATACATAAAGTTATTAAGAAATATATAAGACCAAGAAACACTGGATATTGCAAACAAAATCCCCGAAAACACATGTTAGATTTCTTCCTCTTCCATTTTCTTTTTAATTGATTTTTCCCTCTTTTATTTCCCATGCATTTTAGTAACTTATCAATTTGCAGTTCAATCTTCACCTACCCCCCCTCCCCCCCTTCTTTCTCATTCTAACTTCCTGCTTAATTGAAGCTAGATCTGGATTGGTGTGTATATATATGTGTGTGTGTGTGTATATATATATATATACAACTATTTGATTTAATTGTTACCCAGGCTAAGATCTGTCGTGGGAGCTGATATTGGAAAGAATTTATATAAGAAGTAAAGTTATGAAAATAAATATTGATACTTTAATTCTCTTCAGTCTCGTGAGATTTATACACTTTTGGTTCGATGTCGTCTAGTTTTGTTATGCTTCAAAAAAATAGAATATTTAAATTTTATAAATTTTCTTGTTACATTCATGCTTTTGATTTCTTGCGAGAAAAGTGTCCAAATACAAATAATTATTTTTAGTGAATTCTTGGAAAATAATTAATGGTTAATTTAACATCAAGATTAGTAAAAAGTAATTTTAGAGTTGAACTAAAATTCGATTTTGTAACTACTGTTCTTTGGTTCTTAGTTCTAAGAAACAAAAACAGTTATATTTTAGTTACAATTGAATCAAACAAACTTATTTGGTGCAGTTCTAATTCTACTTTAATTGAAATTTTGTACATGTAAGATATAGTAATTAGCATTTCCTTCTCTCTCTCTTACAAATATCACAATAATTCCTCCCGTCGCCGCCTGTCTCCACCATGTCGCCACTAATTCCCGGAAGAAAATAAAATTCACTGAATAGCACAAGTTGCTGATTGTTAGTTAAAGAAAAACACGTTTGCTGATTTTTAATGGGCTTTAACTAATTTTCTCTAGTGCCAAAACCAAGATCAAACCAGAGGAAAACTCAGAAATCATGTGCTGGTTTTTAATAGATTTTATGTAATAATTTCATTACCCTTTTGATATGTATGCAAAATTTCAGGTTCTTTAACTGTAATTGGTAGATTCTTTTAATAGATTTTATGTAATAATTTCGTTACCCTTTTGATATGTATGCAAAATTTCAATTTCTTTAGCTGTAATTGGTTGATATCAAATGTTCTATGTGTAAATTTATGTCATTCAATTTGGTATTGCTTGTAAAAAGTATTTGTCTTTTCATAGATTATAAAGATTTTGAGATGTAAGCACCGAAAGTTGGAACGTGCTTTGATTTATTGAACAGCTTTTATTAGTACTATAAATAAATACAGGAAGCAAGAAGGATTTGGAATTATAACGAAATAATCGTGGATAGATGTTAAGCACATATTTGTTTGCTTATCGTGTTCTCGAGCTGAAACCTCAAAATCTGAAAAACAAAATTATCTTAATCACAATCCACTAACGAAAATGTGTTAAAGCTAAGGTTAATGCTGCTGTATTTGAAGATGGGATGTGCAAGATTAATTCTATAACACTTGTGCATAATCATGGGTCGAGTCTGCAAAGATCGCAATTTTACTCATGTAACAGAGGAATTGGTATAGGCGTTCAAAGGAAACTAGAATTAAATGATCCAGTTGGGATTCGCATAAAAAGAGTTATCAATGTTTTGTAGTGGAAGTTGGGGGTCGTGATAATGTCCCATTTTTGGAAAAAGATAGTGGGAAAACATTGATAAGAAAAGAAGATTGCATTTTGTTATTGGAGATGCTAAAGCAATCCATAACTACTTTGTTCGGATGCAAGCAAAGAATTCAAGCTTCTTAATTCTAGCATTGTCATCTACATCCATCAAGCTTATTGTTTTTTCAGACTTTGAGTTTCCAGCTCTAAACAACAAATCTTAACTTACCATCTGCCCGCTTTGATTTCATTATAATTCCAAATCCTTCTTGCTTCCCGTATTTATTTGTAGTACTCATAAAGGCTATCCAATAAATGAAGGTGCGTTCCAACTTTCGATGCTTGCATCTCAAAATATTTATAATCTATGAAAAGACAAATACTAATAACAAACAATACCAAATTGAACGGCATAAAGTTACACATAGAACACTTGACATGACAATCAATTCATAATCATTTTCATCCAGAAACATCTGTAAGGAAATGAACTATATTCAGAATAATCTCGTAAAAAGTTGAAATTGTAAACATTAAATTGAGATTAAATAACGCTTCAACAAATAATGAAAATCAACGTTGGTCGTCGTTTAAAGAAAAAAATCTACCAATAACAATTAAAGAAATTGAAATTTTGCATACATATCAAAGGGGTTTCGAAATTCTTACCTAAAATCCATTAAAAATCAGAAAATGATTTTTGATGTTTCCTCTGATTTGATCTTGGTTTAGGGACTAGAGAAAATTAGTTAAAACCCATTAAAAATCAGCAAACGTATTTTTCTTTAAATTTAGTGATTTCTCTCTCTCTTTTCTTCCCTCCCTTTTTTTATTTTTTATTTTTTTTATTTTTAATATCGGCAGGCCGGAGGTGGGTGGGGGGGGCCAATTGGTGGGTACGCGGTGGAGATACAAGGTGATGGGAGGAATTCTTGTGATATTTGCTCGGGGAGATGAAAGAATCATAACAAAAGATTTTTTTTAATTATTTATTACATAATTATTACCAACTAGATACTCCATCGTTATAACGATGAAGCATTATTAGTTGGAAAAAACAGAATGCACAGAATTATTTTCCACAGAAAGATTACAGACCCTCACATCCGGTGGACCCCACGTGTATTAAAATATTGCAAAAAAATGACCCACCCACGTTGGTACATGTATATTCTGTAAAGGTTCTGTACAATTTTTTTTCTGTAAGCCTAGCTTTGCTCTTATTAATTTCATCTTGTTTACCATAACCTTAAAAACACATATACCAAGGGCTGAAAATTCAGTATTGACCTAATTTCTCAAAAGACTGCAGAAATTTGGAATTGTCATTGATGACTATTACGAGTTCTGGAAATTAATTATTTTCCAAGATAAGACTAATAATGCCCTTGACTTTCATTGTGAATTATGGAATTATACTTGTCAACTTCGAATTTTCATTAAAATTTCATTAAAAGATACACAGAATTCGTGAACTTTTAAATAGAAATGATTCAAGTTCATTCCTTTATCTATTGGTGATTTGGATCGTTAGAAAATCATAATTACGTTACATATACCTTATAGACAAATGGTTGTTGTCCACGAGGACTAGCTCTAATGAATCTAGTTTTCAATTATGATTTAATCTTAAATCGTACTTAAATCTTCAAAAATAGAAGAAAAGCGAGAGAAGTTGAATCAGCTTTATTTGGAACATCTGCAATGTTGACAGGTAAACGAGTTCGATTCACATCCTTGAAGACATACGTGACAATATTTAATGGTCATAAATCACTAGATAGGTTTTAATGAAATAGGGAAAAAAATACACCTGTATCTGACTGAAAAATAAATATTTTTTTTCATTTCTCAAAAGACTGCAGAAATTTGGAATTGTCATTGATGACTATTACGAGTTCTGGAAATTAATTATTTTCCAAGATAAGACTAAGAATGCCCTTGACTTTCATTGTGAATTATGGAATTATACTTGTCAACTTTGAATTATCATTAAAATTTCATTAAAAGATACACAGAATTCGTGAACTTTTAAATAGAAATGATTCAAGTTCATTCCTTTATCTATTGGTGATTTGGATCATTAGAAAATCATATTTATGTTACATATACCTTATAGACAAATGGTTGTTGTCCACGAGGACTAGCTCTAATGAATCTAGTTTTCAATTATGTCTTAATCTTAAATCGTACTTAAATCTTCAAAAATAGAAGAAAAGCGAGAGAAGTTGAATCAGCTTTATTTGGAACATCTGCAATATTGACAGGTAAACGAGTTCGATTCACATCCTTGAAGACATACGTGACAATATTTAATGGTCATAAATCACTAGATAGGTTTTAATGAAATAGGGAAAAAAATACACCTGTATCTGACTGAAAAATAAATATTTTTTTTCATAAAGCCTTTAGCCTTATACCATTTATTACGGAGAAGTTCACACGAGAATTACCAGTTCCAGAATTCTACCCTCTCTTTCACGCATACAAATCCTTATCTAGAATTCTGTTCTCATTCAATCTAATCTGTTATGATTTACGTTAATCTGTTTTGACATATCCTAATCCTATTTTCCCATTATAAATCAAACCCGAAAGCAACTTTTTTTGTCATTACATAATTTATTTTTACCATGGCTAAACGTTCTCTGTGTTTCGCTGTGTTTATTATAGCCTTAGCCATTGGAAGAAACGTATGTGAAGCTGAAGAAGAAATAGGGTTTTATGAACTGAAGAAAGGCAATTTTACAGTAAAGATCACCAACTATGGTGCAACTGTTCTATCTGTTATAGTTCCTGATAAGCATGGTGAGTAATTTTCGGATGAAAAACACTTTGTTTTGTAATTCTAGATTCTAAATTTTATTTTATGTGGATTTTATGTGTGAATTTTTTTTCTCTTCAGGTAAATTGGATGATATTGTTCTTGGTTTTCCATCCATTGATGGGTACAAGGTAAGTTTTCCTTATTCAAAGCCATGAAACATGAATTAATGTGTGATAAATGTGAAAAAAGGATTGTACTTTTTAACAACCTAATTTATGAAGCAACAGTCTTATGAATAAAGATTAAAAAATTGCATTCTTCTGTCATTTTTAACGGAAATTTAGCTTGATTATTGATTATAACCCTTTATTTAATTATCGTATATGTGAATTATTTTATTATTTATTTATTTTTGTATATGTTTGCTAGTCTTTCTAATTAATACTGTACAGAATGATTCAACCTACTTCGGTGCACTTGTTGGACGTGTTGCTAATAGAATTGGAGGGGCTCAATTTACTTTGAATGGGAAAAAATACCGACTGCCTGCTAATGATCATGGAAATACACTCCATGGCAAGTCAAATAATTGATTTTTTTTTTTTTCACATTTTTATATATTTATTTTCAGGTAAGATAAACATAATTAGTACAATGAAATCTCAGGTGGAAGCAAAGGATTCAGTGATGTTATATGGACTGTAAATCGTTATGTAAGAGATAGTCACATAACTCTAAGTTATGACAGCTATGATGGTGAACAAGGTACCATATCAAATGAGCAAAAATGTCATCGAGTCTTGTGAATCGACTATTCGGTTCTATCTAGTACAGTGTAACCAGCATTCGCAAGCCATTATTTAACTATATGTTCTTGAATGATACGCAGGATTTCCTGGTCAGGTTTCTGTATTTGTAACCTATATGTTCATTGGAACAAACAAATTAGCAATAAACATGCAAGCCAAGCCTATAAACAAGGCCACTCCAATCAATCTAGCTTCCCACACTTACTGGAATCTTGGAGGACACAATAGTGGAGACATACTTTCGCATAAAATCCAGCTTTTCGGCTCCCACATTACTCCAGTCAATGACAAACTCATTCCAACAGGCGAAATTTCTGCTGTCAATGGAACTGCGTATGATTTCCTCAAGCCAAGGGAAATTGGGAGCAAGATCAATGAGCTTTCTGATGGATATGATATCAATTATGTTATTGATCAGACGGGGAAGGGGAAGCATATATCGAAGGTGGCCGTGGTGCAAGATAGAAAATCTGGTAGGAATTTGGAGTTGTGGTCTAATCAACCTGGATTGCAATTTTATACAAGTAATATGCTGGATGATGTAGTAGGCAAAGAAGGATTTATTTACAAAAAATATGCTGCATTGTGCTTGGAGTCACAAGGCTTTCCAGATTCAGTAAATCATCCTAATTTTCCTTCACAGATTGTGAATCCAGGAGAGGTTTATAAGCACATTATGGTTTACAGGTTTACCATTTAGTTCTCATAGATAAGATAGACAATGTTTCATTTGTTTCTTTTGATAAGTTTTTGGTTTGTGATATGCATTTTAGACTTAGATTTTTTTTTTTGTTATTTCAATTGTTTTTAATTGGAATTTTCATTGTTCAATAAATATAGTTCTCTATTTCAAATTGTTCTGATATTTTAAATGGGTTTTGATCCCTCTCGCAAGGCTGAGCCAACCCAAAAAGCCGTCTTCAATTCAGATTGCAGGCTGCATTTTACTATTTGTATTGTGTGATCATTGATAGACAATCAAGAAACTAGAGAAATGTCTAAGGCACGAGAAGTTGACAGGAAATTCGGGTAAATAAAGGGGAAAGAGGAACAAAACGGTTGAAGTCCATTTATTAGTTGGTGGAGGAAGAAAAGGTTAGCTTCAAAAAATGTGTTGAGAATTGATTATTGTTCATAATAATTTTCCCATGTGGAATAAACTAAAATTGTTGGAAAAAATGAGTAATAGCTCACTTTTGGCAAGATTTTCGGTGAGACCCGTTGGTCCAATTTGGAATATCAAAGTTGATCTGTGTTCTCATCCGTGAGAGCATCAAAATCATATATTTACTTGTCAAAAATGAAGTTCGGGTAAATGAGAAATTGAAGCTCAAAGTTGACAATTAGAAGATGATTTTATGTGGGAAAATAGTTTTTGTCCTACATAGGAAAAGGAAGAAAGCAAGAACCACTTCAAATATGGTTGCACATTGGAAGGGTGTAATCATGTGTAGTATAGAGACTCTCCACGTGCACGCGCAGGGGGGGTGAAAATCTCGAACTGAAATAGCTTTCGGACCTTGAACTTGTGTGTGGGATCGACCTGCGTACACGAATATCGGACTAAACGAAGCAAAAATTGGCCCCTTCAGAAAACCCACGTTTTACAATTTTTTTTCTTGCTTTCTCAACCTGACTTTTGAGTTTTTGAAACTTCCAAAACTTCTAAAAATTGAAGTGACTTCAATATTAATTACCATAGAGTTAATGATAGATTTATGCTATATTAAATCTCAAGTTTCCAGCAATTTACATGGATAAAAAAAAAAAAAAACGTTTTCTTTCTCACTATTCAGAAAAAACATCCCCTGCATTTTTTGTCTGTATCTTTGTCCAGCAAGGTCTTGATTTCTTGCATACGCATATCTGTCCAGTAAGGTCGTTGTGATATTGTTCAAACATCGTATTAGTTAGCCGGAGTAGTTTCTGTGGTGCTCAGATTCTACGGATTTTGCCGTTGTATCTTAGGAAACAGACGCTCAGATTAAATATCAAGCACTACGGTGAGGAGGCGAATATGTTTTAAGAAAACTATGTTCGCACAGGCCTCGAATTAAAAATTTATCTGTTATTTATTTAGTTTACATTTTATTCTTGCAAATTTATTTTTTTAGCGATCTACACGTTTGCAACATGCTTGATTCATATATTGTTTGTTAAATTTATGTTAAAAATAGATAAATAAAATAAATTATTTTTTTTCTAATTCGTTATATGTGTGAAAATAGATTTCACATATATGGTATTTCTATTTGTAAATACAAAAAATTGTGTTATTTTAGTTAGTGTATGAATAAAAACATTTTATGCAAATACGGTGAGTTTCGCTGCCAAATACAGTGAACTGCCATATACGGTAAGCTTTCTGCAAATACGGTAGGCAGCATATACGGTAAGCTGTAAATACGGTAAGATGTAAATATGATAAGTTGCCTACAAATATGGTAGACTACATATACGGTAAGCTACCTGCAAATATGGTAAGCACCATATACGGTATGCTTAAAATTGGTGTTTAACCTACACATATGGCATGTGATAATCTGATTTCATTAATACCACTATATTCAAACAAAGTTAAAACAGATTCCTAAAGGAAAAAATTGATTTCTTATACTGTTAATTTTAAAAACTATTTTTTTTATTTTGACTTTCAGAAATGGCAACCGAATCGACCAACATGAGTGTGACCTAAACTGTGCCTAATGATAATCAGGCTATGGGCTCAGCTGTGGCTCAAGGGCCAAACCTTGTTGTGGCTCAGACTGTGACTAGATTGCCAAGTCATGGTGTGAGTCAAACTGTGGCTCCAACAACTAGCCATACCGTTAATGTTCCGGTTAATTATGGAGAAAAATCGAAAAAATTCAGTGGCTTGAATTTCAACAGGTGGCAGCAGAAAATGTTATTTTATCTAATTACTTTGAATCTTGTGAGATTCTTGACCGAGACTGCTCCAAAACTCAATGAGGGTGAGTAGATGTTCAAGTCATCAGTGCACTTGATGCTTGGAACCATTCGAATTTTCTGTGCCGAAACTATATTATGAACAGTTTAGCAGACACGCTATACAATGTGTATAGTACTACGAAAATTGCTAAGGAATTGTGGGAGTCTTTGGACCGAAATTATGAAACTGAGGATGCCAGGACTAAAAAGTTCATTGTTGGCAGATTCTTAGATTACAAAATGGTGGACTCCAAAACAGTTATTAGTCAAGTGCAAGAACTCCAAGTGATTTTTCACGAAATTCATGCTGAATGAATGATTTTGAGTTAAAACTTTTCCAGTGGCTGCAATTATTGAAAAATTGCCCCACGCATGGAAAGATTTCAAAAATTATTTGAAGCACAAGCGAAAGGAAATGAACGTCGAATAACTAATTGTTAGATTTCAAATTGAAGAAGACAACAAGAGCTCTGAAAAGAAATTGTTCAATCCTGGTATGGCTAAAGCCAATGTTGTGGAGTTTGGTCAAAGTAGTAAGAACTACAAAAACAAGTCTGGACCATCCAGTGGCAAAAGGATCAAGCAAGGACCGAAAGGTGGAATTTCTAAGAAGAAATTTCAAGGAAAATGCTTCAATTGTGACAAAGTGGGCCACAAGTCTTCGGAGTGCAAATTGCCAAAGAAGAAAAAAGAAGCAAATGTGGTTGATTACATGGCACAAGATGTGTCGGAGCTGAATCTCTCAACTGTCGTTTCTGAAGTGAATATGGTGGGTTTAAACCTTAAAGAGTAGTGGATTGACACCGGTGCTACAAGGCATGTGTGTTCTGATAAGAAGTTGTTTACTGCGTTCGACGCAATTGAGAATGGGGAGAAGTTTTTTATGGAAAATTCAGCAACTTCTAAAATCAAAGGTCAATGAAATGTGGTTCTAAAGATGACCTCGGGAAAGGAGATGACTCTTAATAATGTGTTATACGTGCCAGAAATTCGCAAGAACCTAGTGTCCGGGTCGCTTTTCAATAAGCATGGTTTTCGTATTGTATTTGAGTCAGACAAAGTTATTTTGTCAAAAAGTGGAATGTTTGTTAGAAAATGTTATGTTTTCGATGGTATATTTAAACTCAATATAATTGTTTTTAAACCAAAAATGAATAAATCAAACTCTTCTGCTTATTTGCTTGAGTCTTCCAATTTGTGGGATGATAGATTAGGACATGTTAACTACGATACTTTACGAAGACTAGTTAACTTGAATTGCATACCCGAGTTCCACATTGATTCAAAACATAAGTGTGAAACTTGTGTTGAGACAAATTTGACAAGGTCATTGTTTAAATCAATTAAACGAAACACAAAACCACTTGATTTAATTCACAGTAACGTATGTGACTTAAAACTTGTACAGACAAGAGGTGGCAACAAGTATTTCATTACTTTTGTCCACGATAGTATCAAATACTGTTATGTGTATTTGCAAAAAAAGTAAAGATTAAGCTATAGAGAAAATTTTCTCTATAAGAGTGAAGTTGAAACTCAACTTAATAAGAAAATTAAGGTGTTAAGAAGCGATTGCGGTGGTGAGTATGAAGCACCATTTGTGAAATTTTGTACACAACACGGGATCATACATGAAACCACCGCATCTTATTCAATGCAACAAAATGGTGTTGCTGAACGTAAAAATCGCACTATAAAGAAATAATGAATGCAATGCTAGTAAGTTTTGGGTTACCTCAGAACATGTGGGGAGAAGCTGTGTTATTAGCAAATTATCTTTTAAATAAGGTATCCCCAAAGAAAATGGAAAAAACCCCTTATGAGTTATGAAAATGAAAAAAGTTTTCCTATAAATACTTAGTCTTGCTAAAGTGGTTGTTTCAACACTAAAGAAGGTAAGGATAGGGCCAAAGACAGTAGATTGCATCTTTATTGGGTATGCACAAAATAGTAGTTCTTATCGATTTCTTGTGTATAATTCTAAAATCCCTGACATACATAAAAACACGATATTAGATTCAAGAAATACTTCATTCTTTGAACATGTATTTTTGTACAAGTCCAAAGAGGAAGCAAGCTCCTCCAAACGAACATATGAGACTATGATTGAAAATAGTCATGATGAAGAACTAGAAAAGGAGACTGAGGTTAGACGTAGCAAACGGAAAAGGACAGGAAAATCATATGATCCTGATTTTCTGACCTATATGCTAGAAAGTGAATCTCAAAGTTATCAAGAGGCCGTGAATTCCTCATAGGTACCTCAATGGAAGGAGACCATTTAAAGTGAGATAGATTTCATACTGCAAAATCATACATTGGAGTTAGTGGATCTTCCTCCAGGAAGCAAATCACAAGGCTATAAATGAATTTTCAAAAGGAAAATGAGGGCAGATGGAACTATCGAAAAGTACAAGGTCAGATTAGTAATAAAAGAGGAAAATGAGGGCAGATGGAACTATCGAAAAGTACAAGGTCAGATTAGTAATAAAAGATTACAAACAAAGGAAAGACCTTGATTACTTTGATATGTATTCTCCAATGACGATAATAACATCTATTAGGTTGATACTTGTGATTGTCGCTTTGTGAAATCTTGAAGTACATCAAATGGATGTTAAAACTGTCTTTCTAAATGGAGATTTAGAAGAAGAAATTTATATAAAAAAGCCTAAGGGATTTTCGCCACCAGGATAAGAAAAAAAAGTTTATAAATTAATGAAGTCGCTATATGACTTGAAACAAGCACCGAAACAATGACATGAAAAATTTGATAATGTCATAATAAAGAGTAGATTTAAAATCAATGAGTGTGACAATTGTGATTACGTTAAAGACACTAGAG